TTCCTTACTTAGAATTTCTGGTTCGCAGACTTCATTTGGAAAGTCGAATATTTTCCTCGAATTGGGATTCAAGATAAACCGGTGACTTGGGACACCAAAAGCCAAAAATTTCCCAAGTGGCAACTCTGAATTAAATAAATAATCTCATTTCGAATCTTGTCACTTAAATTGGAAAAACTCCCTCACGCATTTACCCTTCGGGTCGGGCGCGCAAAAAGGAGGTATGACAAGAGGTCTCTACGAAAGTTTGACACTTCCTTCTCTTCTTCTTTTTCGTGTATGTGTTGTATAAAAAAGATTTGTACGCGTTGGAGGGATTCTACAATTCATTTACCAAGTTTTTATTTTTCTTTTATCTTGTTGGATTGCTTCAGCAATTACACATAATAGTGTATGAAAACAACTGGTTGTATAAAGAATGAGCAATAACCGTAGTTGATTGTGTGAAATAAGCTGTCTTTCGGGAATTAGCCTATTTTTTTGGACTATAGATTTGCAAAGTGGTATTTAGGCTATTATATTACAAGTCGGGTGTGTGAGTTGTATTTATGTGAAATTATCCCATAAGAGAAACCGGTTCGTTTTTATTGTCAAAAGAATTGCAGTTTCTATTGGTCCAGATGTTCCAAAGTAATTAAAATAGGCATTAGGATGGAAACAGGTAAAAGTTTAGCAACAGTAATAGTACTGGTGTTTTGAACCAGTATTTGAGCCAGTCATGCAAGTTGCACTGGGGTGTGGGGATGCTTAAATAATTCCATATATAGATAGTCCCTTCCGGACATCCGATAAAGATGGAGCAATACAGAAAAAATTAGCATGCCCATTGCGGAAGGGTAACACGGACAAATCGAGAAATGGTCCAATTTTTAATTTTTAAAAGAAAGGAATTCTTACGTTGTATAGCAAAGGTTGATACCTTATTTATTATAAATAAATACCCTTTTAAAAAATCATATTTCATAGCTATCTTTTGATTTTTATAGTCAAATATCTATTTATGGTCACCTCCTACCTTTAAACCATAAAATACGCTTTGTATTATTTTTCTCTCTCTCTTTCAAATTTTTCTCCACCCTCTCTCTCAACTCCAGTTTTTCTCCATAAAATTTTCTCTTATTTTAACAAATCAGATCTCATGGGTACTACAAGTTGACATTGATCCTGAGGATGCAAATATCGAACAAATGTCTAGGGACGAAACCAATAAATTTGGTATATTTTCTTGGGAATTCGTCCGTCACCATGGGCTGCACCTATTCGGCACAACTTCCACATGGTTCTTGTTGGACATTGCTTTCTATAGCCAGAAAGATGTGTTCAGCGCAATTGGATGGATACCAGCAGCCAAAACCATGAATGTCGTTCAAGAAGTTTACAAGATTGCAAGAGCACAAACCTTGATTGCACTACTTAGTACAGTGCCAGGGTACTGGTTCACCGTGGCGTTCATCGATGTAGTTGGAAGGTTCGCGATCCAATTGATCGATATACTTCGGATACAGATTCGCAGAAGAAATACTTCAGTTAATATATTTCAATGTATATCGATGTATTTCATTGTATTCATTGTCTTTTTTTTTCATTGTATTTCAATGTATTTCGCTGTATTTTATGTATTTTCATTGTATTCATTGTCAGTTTTTTCATTGTATTTCAATGTATCCCGTTGTATTCTATGTATTTCATTGTATTCATTGTCAGTTTTTTCATTGTATTTCAATGTATCCCGTTGTATTCTATGTATTTCATTGTATTCACTGTCTCGCTATATTTCATGAATGTATTCATATATTTTTTTTTAATTAATATAATTTATGTATTCAGATGTATTATATAATTTCTCTAAAGATTGCTATGTTTTTGGAGTGTTTTTCGGTTGAGAATCTTTTTTATAACTGGAAGTACAAAATTTGTGTGTTATAATTGAGTTTGTTGAGTTATATTGGGAGTCTATTATGTTAATTGATTCGCTTTCCGTTTAAAAACAGTATAATCCCATGTTTCACGCCGTAAATACAGTCGAATACAGTAGAATACAACAATCTGTCCAACTGTAATCCCATGTTTCACGCCATAAATACAGTCGAATACAAAAATCTGTCTAGCTGTAATTCTCTGTTTCACGCCTAGAAATGCTACTATATTCATGAATACAGTAGCTTAAATACATCGAATACACTATAAAATATTTCAAAACATAGCTATAGAAAGTAATATAGTAAATGGTAGCTACAACTAGCTAATAACCACTAAAACATAGTGGTTTCTGAAAATAGATTCCATATATAGTTGGCTTTAGGGCATTGAAGAATATATGGAACATATATATCTTCTGATGTATTAGTGCAACAGCCATTTTTCATTAGAGGTGCGCTGATGACAGATGAATGTGTTTTTGTAACTAAAACAGTTTTCTTTTTAAAAGAAAATCATATCATAAAATGTAATATTTGAACACTTGCTACAACTGAGGTTAGGAGCTTTGCCAAGAAGGCTTCCGACAAATCTGCATTTCTCTTGTACGTTGCTAATTGATAATGAGTCGATGACCTATATGCATAATTTAATGCCAGATTGCTCTTAGATGAAGTGTCTTTTATGGAATACGAGAACATGTCATCAAATAACTAGAAACAAACACCCATGAAACAGGCAAGTTAAAGATTTAAGGTTCCAAATAAACTATTCGGGTTCCATTCAATACAAAATCAAGTTGTCTTGCTCAAGAATTATGTTTGACCTATTAGAAATGCGTACTTTTGCGAGGATATGATGCTATCTTCTATAATACTCCAAAGTCACTACCAATCTGCAAAATCAGAGCCATTAGATTCTTTTCATCAGAAACTCAGCAACTACACTGGAGGGATAAATACCGAATATCACATGGTAACCACACGATAGTTTCCGTGCTTCACAGAATCTTCACTTGAAGAGCTCTGGATTCAGCCAGTCCCTAACAAAATGGAATAGCAGAAGCAGAAAACATGAGGAACTTATAGAGATCAATGTGGATATTAGCAGCGTTCAAGCAGATAACAGTATGTAGTTCTTACTTGCTAATGTCATCCAGGTGGTCATCGAAATCTACGATATCCTTCCATTTTCCTGACGAGATATAATCTAAAAGGATAATATTTGCAGATGGCTCCTTGATTTTCAGAGGGCCGCTTGCATCCGTTCCCACTAGTTTCCAGCTCCTAGATACTTCCTTAGTGTAAAGCTGAATAAAAAGTAAATGACTTACAGTAAAGGAAACTACTACGAAGATATGGATAACTTGTTTAAGTACAAAACTATAAGAATCATAGTCTTATACAAGCAAGACTAGTAATGACAAAGACACAAACAAGTGCAGAGAACGAGCTTTAAAGTAAACCAGAAGTTAGAACTCTGAATTAGCTTGCATTGCGATACGTAACACAATTATAAATGTAGGGAGAAACAGATTAATACAGAGCATAGTGATATTCACTCTATAAAGTATCTCTACACAATTGTTATCTAACCGATTTACAAATAATCACATCTAGAACCCTGGATACATTGGTAACTACGACACAGAGAGGATCTAACTTCGCCTATGGCAAACGATTCAATTTTCCAGCAACGCTTTACTTATTTTATCACGAATTCCAAAACAACAGCAAAAAGACTCGGCAGTCAAGATTTTCAGGCCAGCGGTCTTAAAACCCATTGAAAATCTTTCATCCGAAGCCAGAAGCTACTCATTCCGGACAATTCTCTGTTTTTCACATGCAGATGAAACCAACTGAAGACTTTATTTCATCTGAATGAATTAAAGCAACTTTCTCCTCTGACGCAAGCTAAGCATGGTGATTCATCTTCATCCAGAATATAACAGAACATATAGGGTCCATTTCAAATACGAATTTGGGTTCTGATATTATTTTTTCTGCTGAAGTTGTCAGAGTGGGGGTTCTATTCCTTTTTACATTCAAGATATTTGTATTTTAAAGGAAGCCCAATCCAACAAGAGATATCATGTGAAGATCTAACCTATCCAAACTCTCCATGTTCCACCTATATAAAATATTTCATTTTCCTCCTCACAATCCGTCCTGAGCCAATGTCTTGGACTGGAGAAGACAAAACAGAGTTGATTGAATTGAAGATATAAAGCAGATGGTTTTCACCTATTCGAGTCTTGCAAGAAAATAGGATTTTATACTGAGCTCCACATATACAAATTGGGATGGAATGGCTCCTACTAGTTCCCTCCCAAGGGCGGATCTATGTACAGAAGAGGGGGTGCCACGCCACCAGACGCTCGGGTAAAATCTAATGTATATACTGGTATTTCACACAATAAAATGGATATAAGTAAAGGGTGCCACCCATAGTAACAAAGTGACGGTAGGTGCTAATGGTCCAAGCTCCAGCTTTTCAGGCCTTTGGCCTGGGATCGAAACTCATTTTGTATGTAGTGTCTCTTTTTTGTACTTTTTGTCCTTTTCTCTTATTTCTTCTTTTCTTAATTTTTATTTTCTTCATCGTTGTATTTTCTCTCTTTGTTACAACGCCAGTTTATTATTTATTTAGATTATGTATTTGCTTCCTTTTTCATTTTCTAGATCTTCAAAGTTTTATTTGAATATAATTTTAATTATTTTCCTTTTTTATTCATCTAGTGTTATTTTTTTCTTGATTTCAAATTGGACCAAATATTTTTTGTTTGGTGGTTGCGTATTTATTTATGTGCCAAAATTTTGTAAGCCGTATCGGATTAATTCAAGATAATTCAAAATATAGAGAATCGACCAAACATCACTCTTTTCCAATATCCTTGACTGAACGGCACCCGCAATCATGAAATCCTGGATCCGCCTCTGCTCTCTCCCCCCCCCCCCCCCCCCCCCCCAAAAAACCTCACCCCAAAAAATCACACGTGCGAGTTCCCCCGCATACGACTCAAGTGCGCAAAAGTATGGATGATTTCCTATTTTGTAAGATTTAGCTTTTTCTTAACATATTTTTTGCATCAATATCCAAATCATAGAACATTCGAGAGCTTGAATTGGGCTAACCTCCAGCTTAATTTTGCATCTGATGGAAAGAGGGATGCACAGTAAAAGATCATGTCTACCTCAGGATCTTGAAAAAACTACTAAAGCTAAAAAATCTTCTTCTAACTTTCGGATACTTTAACATGTCAAGCTTAAAATAATCTCCTTAGTGAGTAAACATTTCCACCAGACATACAATATTTTTGTTAAGTACTGCAGGCAATGAGCTGCTCTAATAGGACTTCTCGACATAGAAAGCTCTCAAACAGATCTCAAAAAATGTTGTTGTTGTTGTACCACTTGCACACTGAGAGAGACAGGAAATGAAGTTAAAAATGGTAGCAGGAGCCATCAATTAGTATAGAGCACCTTGTTATGGTCTGTTTGGAGCTGATTTTTCCTTTGGTGCCAAAACAAGTTTACTGGAGTTAAAGACCGACCGAAAGATTTTTATAGGAGTTAGAGTGAAGGACAAATAGAAACAGTGGAGACATTATGCATGTGCTAGTGGCAGAAGTAGGGCTGTGCATTTGGATCGGATATCCGAAATCCGATCCGATCCGCTCAAATTCGGATTTCGGATTTCGGATTTCGGATATTTGGATCGGATTCGGATTTGATTTATTAAAATTTCGGATTTTCGGATTGGATTCGGATTTGTATAGTTTGAACCCGATCCGATCCGAAATCCGAATTTATTAAGGGAAAAATAAATACTAATTTTATTTTTAGGGTTAGGTGCATTAGGTCTTATTTCATTCTGCCTCCGTCTAATTCTCAGAAGCAACTTTTTGATGTTGCTGCCTTATCTCAGTTCTCACGCCTCAGACTCAGTCCTCACTCCTCACTGNGCTCACTTCCCGGCTTCAGTCTTCACTCATCACGCCTCACAAGTCACACCCAGAGACTGCTGTGCTGGTGCTGCTCACTTCAGTCTTCACGCGACGCCTCAAGCTGCTCCCTCCTGCTCGTTGCTTCCTCTATCTCTTCTCTGTGCTCCGGCGACCGCACTGGTAACTGGTAAGACACTAAGAATTGATGAAATTCTTAAGAAAGACAC